TTCCTTATTTCCCCATGGCACTTATCACTATCTGAAAGTATCTTATTACCATAAGAAAACTAACCACCCAAAGCTCAGTGGCTTAAAACAACAATTTATTACTATCTATCCTTACCCAAGCCATGGTATTTTCAATAGACTCATATGAATGTAAGAGCTGGACAAGGAATAAAGAAGACTGCAGAAGAATTGATGAACTTGAGTTGTGGTGTTGGTGAAGAACATTGAATGTACCATGGATGGCTAGAAGAACAAACAAATCTGTCTTGGAGGAAGTACAACTCTTTAGAAGCAAAAATGACTAGAAGCAACAATGACTAGACCATGTCTCTCTTACTTAGGACATGTCAGAAGATACCAATCCCTGGAGGATACATGCTTGGTAAAGTAGAGGGTCAGTGAAAAAGGGAAAGGCCTTCAATGAGATGGACTGATACAGTGGCTGTTGATGATGGACTCAAGCATGACAATGCTTATGAGGATGGCACTGGACTGGGCAGTGTTTCCTTCTATTGCACATAGGGTCACTATGAGTCAGAACAGACTTGATGGCACCTAACAACAACAACATCCTGGGTCTGCCACCACTTTTATGTCAGTTGGTCATATTGTGGTGGCTTGCACGTTGCTGTAATATTGGAAGATATGCCACAAGTATTTCAAATACCAGCAGGGTTACCCATTGTGGACAGGTTTCAGCAAAGCTTCTAGACTAAGACAGACTAGGAAGAAAGATGTGGGAGTCTATTTCTGAAAAATTGGCCACTAAAAACCTTATGAATAGCAGTAGAACATTGTCTGATAGAATGCAAGAAGATGAGTGCCTCAGGTTGGAAGGCACTCAAAACATAACTGTAGAAGAGCCACCTCTTCAAAGTAGGGTTGACCTTAATGACATGGATGGAGTAAAGCTTTTGAGACCTTCATTTGCTGATGTGGCACATGACAAGAAAAAGCTGGAAATGTTTATTAATAATAAGAATATGGAATGTACAAAGTACAAATCTAGGAACATCAGAAATTGTAATAAAATGAAATGGAACACATAAGGATTGATATTGTAGGCATTAATGAGCTGAAGTGGATAAGCATTGGCCATTTTGAATTGGACAATATGTTCTACTCTGCTGAGGATAGCAAATTGAAGAGGAATGTCATCATGTTCATAGTCGAGAACATTTCAAGATCTAACCTGAAGTATATTGCTGTCAGTGATAGAATAGTGTCCATTTCCATACAAGGAAGACTAGTTAATATGATTGTCATCCAAATTTACGCACCAACTGCTAAAGCCAAAGATGAATAAATTGAAGAGTTTTATCAACTTTTGCAGTCTCAAATTGATCACACATGCAGTCAAGATGCACTGATACTTACTGGTGATTGGAATATAAAAGTTGGAAACAAAGAAGGATTAGTAGTTGAAAATATGGCCTTAGTGTTATAAAAGATGCTGGCAATTACATGATAAAATTTTACATGACCAACAACTTATTCATTGCAAATAAACTTTTCAACAACATAAACAACTGTACATGTGGACTCACCAGATGGAATACACAGGAATCAATTGACTACACCTGTGGAAAAAGATGATAGAGAAGCTCAATATCATCAGCCAGAACAAGGCCAGGAGCTGACTGTGGAACAGACAATCAATTGCATATATGCAAGTTCAAGTTGAAGACAAAGAAATAATAATTCCATGACAGCCAAAATATAACCTTGATTATATCCCACCTGAATGTAGAGATCATCTGAAGAATAGAATTGATGCATTGAACAACAATGACAGAAGACTAGACGAGCTGTGGGATGACTTCAAGGACATTGTACATGAAGAAAGCAAAAAGGTCATTAAAAAGACAAGGAAGAAAGAAAAGACCAAAATGGATGTCATAAGAAACTCTGAAATTTGCTATTGAATATGGAGTAGCTAAACTGAATGAAAGAAATGATGAAGTAAAAGAGCTGAACAAAAGATTTAAACAGGCAGCCTGAAAAGACAAAGTAAAATATTATAATGAAATGTGCAAAGACCAGGAGTTAGAAAATCAAAAAGGAAGAACACATTTCTTGAGCTGAAAGAACTGAAGGAAAAAAAAAAAAAAACTCAAGCCTCATCTTGCAATATTGAAGGATTCTATGAGAAAAATATTGAATGACACAGGAAGCATCAAAAGAAGATGGAAGAAATACACAGAATCACTGTATCAAAAAGAATTGGTCAACATCAACCATTTCAGAAGGTAACATGATTAAGAACTGATGGTATTGAAGGAAGAAGTCTAAGCTCCACTGAAAGCACTGGTGAAAAACAAGGCTTAAGGAATTGACAGAATAGTAGTTGAGATGTTTCAACAAATGGATGCAACACTGGAGGTATTCACTCTATGCCAAGAAATTTGGAAGACAGGTACCTGGCCAACAGACTGGAAGATATCCATATTTGTGCCCATCTCCAAGAAAGTTGATCCAACAAAATGTGGAAATAAACAGTATCATTAATATCACATGCAAGTAAAATTTTGCTGAAAATAATTTAACAACATTTGCAGAAGTGCATACACAGGGAACTGCCAAAAATTCAAGTCAGATTCAGAAGAAGATGTGGAATGAGGGATATCATTGTCGATGCTGATGGATCTTGGTTGAAAGCAGAGAATACCAGAAAGATGTTGATCTGTGTTTTACGGATTATAATTCTGCTGTATAGATTATAACAAATTATGAATAACATTGCATAGAATGGGAATTCCAGAACACTTAATTGTGCTAATGAGGAACCAGTACACAGACCAAGAGACAATCATTCAAACAGAACAAGGGGGTACTTCATGGTTTAATATCATGACAGATGTGTGTCAGGGTTGTATCCTTTCACCATTTTTATCCAATCTGCATACTGAGCAAACAATCCAAGAAGATGAACTATATGAAAAATATTGTGGCATCAGGACTAAAGGAAGACTCAATAACCTGCAGTATGCAGATGACAGAACACTTGTTGCTGAAAGTGAAGAATAAGCACTTACTGACAAAGATCAAAGACTACAACCTTCAGTAGGGATTACACCTCAACATAAAGAAAACAAAAATCCTTACAACTGGACTAATAAGCAACGTCATGATAAACAGAGAAAATATTGAAGTTGTCAAGGATTTCATTTAACTTGGATCCACAGTCTATACCTGTGAAGCAGCAGTCAAGAAATCAAATGTTGGATTGCAGTGGGCAAATCTGCTGCAAAAAAATCTCTTTAAAGTGTTAAAGAGCAAAGATATCACTTTGAAGACTAAAGTGCACTTGGCCCAAGCCATGATATTTTCAATCACCTCATATGCATGCAAAATGGACAATGAATAAGGAAAACTAAAGAACTGATGCCTTTGAATTATGATGTTGATGAATAAGAACAAATATATCTGTTTTGGATGAAGTACAGCCAGAATACTCCTAGAAACAAGAATGGCAGGACTTTGTCTTACATTGTTGTTGTTGTTGTTATGTGCCGTCGAGTCAGACCTGACTCATAGCGACCCCTCCTTGGGTTTCCAAGGCAGTATCACTATGGAAGTAGATTGCCCCACCTTCCTTCCGAGGAGTGGCTGGTGGCTTTGAACCACCAGCCTTCTGGTTAGCAGTCAAATGCCTTAGCCACTATGCTACCAGAGCTCCAGGGTATCTCATATAGTTACAGTTAAATAGCAGCTGGGGATTGGAGTCTTCAGAAGGCTTTTCTGGGCTGGGCAACTTGAGGTTGCTTCTTCCTTCATGTATCTGGAGCTTTGCTGCTCCTCCAGTTGTCCTCTCTCTCCTGTGGAGTAGCATGGACTTTTTACATGGTACTTCAGACCTCCAAGAGAAAAAAAAAAAACAACAGAAATTGCCAGTCATCTTACACATTAGACCTGGATTTGTCATGTGTTCTGCCATATTCAGGTGATCAAAGCAGTTATCGGCCTGCTCAGGTTCTAAGGGATTGAGGGATAAATTCTACCTCTTAAAAGGGAAGTGATGCATATGTAAAAGGAGGAAGGAATTGATGGCCATCTTTGGAGATAAGTTATGATATTTATTTGTTTAATTACTTGCTATTGTCTGTCTACTCCATTAGATTATAAGCTGAATTAGAACAGGGACCTTATCTATCTTGTTTTATGGCTCTATTTCCAGGACCTAGAACAATACCTGACACATAAGAGGTTCTCCATAAATAAATTAATCACTTGATAAATGTCTTGAAGACTAAAATGGACTGAACTAAACTTTCCCAAATAGATTTTGCCAGGCTTGCTGATGCCAAGCACGCTGAAGTCTCACCAGATAAGAGAAACTCTACAGTTATATTTTATTTCCTCAGCAAATCTTTCCTAAACACAAATAGATTTGGCATGTTTTCTAAATGGAAAATATTTCTTGTATACCAGAAATTATTGTCCCACAGCTTTGTACTGTATCAAAATATTGAAGTTGCCTAAAGATACCCCATTCTTTAATCTTGGTGTGGGCTAGAAAACATTTTATGTGTTGATTTATTTTCATAGCAAAGAAAATATAACATCCTCCCTATATTTGAACTTCCTCAAAATATCTCCTAATTGACAATGTCATTAAACATTAAAATACATTTAAGGCAGAAAAAAGAGCTAGCAACTGAGAAATGTTATAAAAAAATTGGCCATTGAAATATATACAATTTTTGGCTATAAAATCAGTGCTTGTTTATATAAGTAATTACATATAACCAAGGGCAAGAAAATAAATTACCTCAAATTTCCCTTTTGCTAGTTTGAACTGATGAATTCTATAAAATAATCCTCTCTTTAAACCTTCTGGTGAATCTTTTGTATATTAGTATGCGACAAAGTATTCATCTGAAAGATATCAGTGATTTTTAATGCTGAAAAAAAGGAGGAGGAATTTAATTTTAAAAAATTACACTTGCAGGCTGACAAGAGTGAAATTTCATCTAATCTTTGTTTTGTTTTATCTTCAGTTTTCCCAGATTTGCTCAAAGCAATCCCAGCGAGCATCCACATCAATGTCATTCTCTTCTCTACGATTCTTATTCTTTTAACCATGGTGGGGACAGCCTTCTTCATGTACAATGCTTTTGGCAAGCCCTTTGAAACTCTGCATGGTCCACTAGGATTATATCTCTTGAGCTTCATTTCAGGTAAGTACAAAATTGTATTTCTGAAGACAAATATGCTTTTCAACAGGTCAAAAGGCAGGTCCACTCAAATATAAAATTACATATATGTACATAAATGTTTCACTCTAGCTTTATATATGACAGCAAAAAGTAGAGGGGACCATAATTATCTAGCAATAGAGAATTTAATAAATACACATGGTAGTCTACATGAATGAATATTATACTGACATTAAATTATATTTTTGAGGAAGATGTAATAAAAGGATAAATGCTTATATCAAAAGGTTAAGTGGAAAAAGCAATATGCAAGATTCTCTAAACATTATGAACACAATTTGACTATATATATATAAATGTTTAGAATAATATACATATAAAATAATATCTATTAGTATATATGTTAAATTATATATATGTATGTATATATAGGGAGCTCTGGTAGCATAGTGGATAAGACACTTGCCTGCTAACCAGAGAGCTGGCGGTTCAAACCCACCAGCCACTCCTCGGAAGGAAGGTTGGGCAATCCTACTTCCGTAGTAATACTGCCTCGGAAACCCAAGGAGGGGTCGCTATGAGTCAGGTTTGACTCGACGGCACATAACAACAACAACAAATGTATATATATGTGTGGAGCTCTGGTAGCACAGTGCCTAAGGCACTTGACTGCTAACCAGAAGTCTGGTGGTTCAAACCCACCGGCCACTCCTCGGAAGGAAGATGGAGCAATCTACTTCCATAGCAATACTGCCTCGGAAACCCAAGGAGGGGTTGCTATGAGTTGGGTCCAACTCAACGGCACATAACAGCAACAACAACAATGTATATATATGCATATATTCACATGTATATATATATAACTCGGCTGCTAACCAAAAGTTGGTGGTTCAGGTCTAAGATTCAATGTCCTATGAAGGTTCAGGTTGAAAGTGGGTATTATTATTACTTTCCCCAAAACTAAAACCAAATTGGTGGATCTAGGTGGTGTGATATTTTAACAGCAGCCATTGAATCAATCTAAGTCCAGCCAGAAAACATAATGCACACTCTTTTAACAGTGGGAATATAATGTAGGGCAGTGGTTCTCAAACTGTGGTCCTTGGACCAGCAGCATCTGGGAACTTCATGTTGTTGTTGTTATGTGCCATGGAGTTGGACCCAACTCATAGCGACCCCTCCCTGGGTTTCTGAGTCAGTATCACTATGGAAGTAGATTGCTCAACCTTCCTTCCAAGGAGTGGCTGGTGAGTTTGAACTGCCAGACTTCTGGTTAGCAGTCAAGTGCCTTAGGCACTACGCTACCAGAGCTCCTAGGAAACTTCATAGAAAAGCAAATTCCAAGGGCCCATCCTGAACCTGGAGTTCCTGGGCAATGCAAATGGTCAACTCACTCGACTGCTATCAAAAAGGCTGGGATTTCAACTCCACCCAGAGGTATCTTGTTAGTAAGGCCTAGTGATCTATTTCCAAAAACTCAGCCATTGAAAACGCAGGGAGCACAGTTCTTCTCTGACACACATGGGATCGCCATGGCTCAGTGTCAGCTGGACAGCAACTGGTTTTACTGTTTGCCCTAGACTTACTGAATCACAAACTCTCTAGTGGAGAGATTGGCAATTCCTCCAGGTAATTCTGGTGC